TTGCTGTTTTTTGTGTTTGTTAGAAAATTATCTGTGATACATAGGATTTACAGCAGCAACAGAATTTTAGCAATATTTCCAGGCAAATTTAGGGGTTCTAAATTTACCAATTATTAATTTGACTATAATCTGAATTAATGGATGCCACAAAAAGACCTTCTTGTTAAACTTTACAAATATAATTCAGGTATAAATTCTGTCTGTCATCTACATTAATTTCGTATTATTCGTTTGGCGACTAAGCATGCACGTACCTTATTGTATAATTATTAATCGACAGTATTTATCAAGACTTGCGCAAATAAAAGAAAACAAAGTTTGTGCAAGTGTTCTTTTAGTATGTGCTAGCTCATTTATCTATCTTAGCTAATTTTTCGTATCTATATAATTTTCGCTATAACTACAGGACCATTCTTTTGAGTGTAGATCATTTGATATTAATTGAAATTCGAACATACATGTGACATGTGATTTTTATTGCTTAACAGAAACAATATTTCGTGTCTCTCGTACAGTGTGCAAAACTTCTTCAAAGTTGGAATTGACGTCGTATAATTCGTATTATACGTCCAACATTGATTGGCGGTTATCGCTAATGCGCATTCGAATAATGGTATTATCTAATGACAACTGCGAGGACGAAGGGGAACGGCAACGTTTATCGTCCATACGTATAAAATGTAATTATGTCCTCTTGATTATATAAAGAACACGACGAGCGATACCGAGCGAACGAGCCGAAACAGGACCCGCGCGCGCGCGCGCGAAAGAGAGAGAGAGAGAGAGAGAGAGAGAGAGAGAGAGAGAGAGAGAGAGAGAGAGAGAGCAGGCTTTTAAAAGTATCTTACAAAGGGACGATAAGTTTCTGCCGGCACACAAAGAACCTCCCGCAAATTAACGTCCAGAAAATTGCGGCTCGATACACTCGCGATACACACAGGACGCAATTATATCTCCTAATTATGTGAGGGATCAAAGTGATTTCTCTCTTTTCTTTTCGCGCTTAATTGCGCCTAATGCTTTATCACGCGCACGTTCGGATCGTTTGAAATCGATATCGTACGATAGTCGCATTACGCGCGATCGCGTCTTAACGGTAATCTGAAAACGCCGACCGCTAGTTACGATTACCGTGCACCTGTGAAAATTGCAGCCGTCCACGCGTGGGAAAAAACACGGCAGTTTGATGTAAGTATCGTTAAACGGGCCTCAGTCGCATTCCAACACGAGGAGCGAGATCGCGGTGTGCAAGAAAAAGGCGCGCGCGGCGTTAGGCGAATTCGAAACGAGAAACCGTTCTTAGGAGAGAATTATTCAAATTGCCGATGAACCCCGACTCTGGCGAAGAGCACTCTGCTCCGCGTATTGTAACAAGTACGTAGAACCTGAGAGAGGAGCAGCTACCTACGTACGAGGAGCACGGATAACTGGTGTAGGAAATAACGTCGTGGGATCGTCGTCGCGCACGATCAAGGTTTCACCGTGATGTTTATAAGCGTTGCGTCCGCTTAGAAGTGGGAGAAAATAGGTTCTCTGCGGCATAATGCATTTGGGTCAGGATCCGTGAGAGAGAGAGAGAGAGAGAGAGAGAGAGAGAGAGAAAGAAAGTAGAGTAGAGTTGATTTTCACGTACGAGCACCCCTTAAAGTTATCGTGTGTCTTATTAGGTGGGATGCTAGAGATTAATTATCAATAACTATAGTACACGCGTTAGGGTAGTGAGAGCATATGCTCGGGTTTCCTGCCGAATGATGCAAGGGGAATATAAGCGCAATGTACGTGAATAATAAATGTACGTATAATAGTAAATGCAGGACACACATATTACGCCTATAAAGAGAGAGAGAGAGAGAGAGAGAGAGAGAGAGAGAGAGAGAAAGAGAGAGAAAAAAAGCGAAGAAGAGCAGGGCCCCACATCCTGCCGTCAAGTGCATTCTGTGCATCCTCTTGGGCGCATCCTGCGCGCTGTGTGACGTTCGCAGGTTCTGAGATAACGGTCATCGATGGAACCGGAAATAAGAGGTACCCATCGTGGCGCGCCATCGCCGCGAGATCGCAGATTACAGTGATTAATCCTTAAGCGGACACGCGACACTTAATTTGATTACGGTCTATTCTTTGGGTACTGTTGCCATTGTTTGAGCTTGCGCTCGTGAGTGATGTTTCTGGCGTAAATACACCGCAAATTACGGCGCCGCGATATCAACCCTGGATGCGTGTAATTATCATACATTGTGGAATTTTTCCGAAATTCGTTGTTTGCGCGACGGTGCCCCGGTCGTGGTAACACGAGACTGCGATTAACAATCAGCATTTGCTACGGCGCACACGACGTATAACGCTCATACATCCGTTGCGAATGATGTCGCGCGAACCAAAACAGGACATGATTTTCTAAAAAAGAGAGAGAAAGAGTATCCTACGAGCAACAAGAACACTCAAGGAACGATTGCTTCCTTTTGCCATAAAGAACCACCAGCGGCGAATTAACGTCCACCCGCTCGATCGTTATTTCCGGTCGTTTGAGCAGCGTTGATTGAGTCGATTATTCTCAGATTCCCAGGCACACCCGCGTAAGAAAGGAAAACTGTGGACGAAAGTCCACGAGGAAAGCGATCCTAACGGTTGGTTCGCGCGATTAAGAGACGCTTCTTCATCGGCAGGAAAAACGCGGCAGTGAGAAGCGAGAATCATCCACCGTTGCGAGACACGAGACGAGAGGAGACAAGACGAGACGAGTCACGTCGAGGATCTCTCGTCGAGAGCGATGTACTTACGCGGACATTACGGACCTCGGAGACGGCAGAGCTCGCGAGGGAAAAAGGAAACAGTACAGCGAGACAGCGGAGTAGGAGAGAGGAGCTTCAGGATCGGCGAATACATCCGTTCGTTTTAATCGCTAATCACCAATTACGCGAAACGTCCCGCGCCCAAAACCCCCAGAAGCATTTTAACGAGCCGCCGTGTCGCCCGGCTCCGGAATTTTACTTCGGCCCGATGGCTTCCACCAGACGGGCACCCACGGTGTGTTCAGGATATATCTCTCGTCCTCCACGTCGCCCATCCCGCTCACCCTGTCGTCCACTATCTCGCTCCGGCTGGCGGATCGACTATGTGCGTGTGCCCGTACCAATTAGTGCATACTTGGGCTCTCAGTGTTCGACAGCCTCAGAGCGGACCCCTCTGGGGTCCTTCCTCGGGGTGCTGCTGTCGAGGCCTCCGTCGAAATTTGCGGAATGGGACCGGCGGTTCCCAAACGACCGAGAAATCTCGTTGATTCGGGGGATTAGTCGTCGCCGGCGCGACGATTGATTCTTTTAAGCGTGCGGAATAGCACCAAGGACGGCAGACCTCGTTCGATTCGCGGATAAGAGGAAGGACGGAATAACCATCGTGAAATGCAGGGGCGATGCGGGCGATCTAAAATATACCGCATGCGAATACCGACTTTTCAACATTAGTTCAAATTTACGGTTAATTCTAGAAACTCGAACATTAAAAAATTACGTAAGCTCGAAACATGATTAAAAAAGATACACTAGATTTTATTTTAGAATACATTTTTTTCATATCTTCCGGGAAAAAGATGGAAATTTAATCTTTTTTTTTTAATTAACGTAGAAATCATCGAGGAATATAATTCTATTGCCTTGATATCTTTGCAATTCAATAAAGTTGAAAAAAAGTTATAATAAAGTTGAAAACAGTTATAATAAAAAATAAGACACATGTTTTCGAAAGCAATAACGTTCGAGAAGTTGATCTGGCTAAATTTTACCCACATTTAGGATTCTAAGGTTAAACGCAAACTCTGTTTAAACATATTATTAGAATAGAGTTTAAACTGACATTCAGGCTTAAACCACTATTAAGAAATCGGTTCTAATATATTCTTGTTTTGCAATCGCGATGTAACACGAGTCGGATTGAATCTGAATTTCTCTCACGAACTCAGAAAATGAGAAAGATAAATTATTCGGTCGCAAATTTGATCTATATCTCTCTGTTGCTTGGCGAAGGTTTTATCGTCGCGAGCTACCTTCCTCTCGCTTTATTCTCTCATTCTCTCGACATAAGAGCGAGAATCGATACCGCGGTCGATTTGCGGCGCGGTAGGGCAAGCGGATCATGCGGATACACGCCAAACACGTGGACGTATATACGTCGAATTACTCTTCCTAATGAGGAACACACGGAGGTATGAATTTGCGAGGGTGTCGTGTCTTCCCCGCAGGTTTTCGTAACGGTTTTCTGGCGGCGTCTTTCGCGCCGTCGAGTTTAAGTATACACCACTGTGGGAGCTAAGTAATAACTGCCAATGGAATTAGAAACGCCGAAGAGTCGCGGATAGTGGATGGGATGTACGTGACCGTAAGTTGATAGTTTTTTTTTTTTCTGCCGCGTCGCGCGTCGATGACGGTGCGCAAACGTGTGCACATGTGTGCACGCGGAAGTGGAAAAGGCCCGACGGGTATTTAAAATCTCTCCTCGGGAACGCGCGCGTGCGTTGAGAAACATTTCGTACGCAACGCCGATTGAATTAATCTCCTTCGATCGCTATCTCGTCTCGTGCGCTTCCCTCAGAGTCTAATTTGCGAAGTCTAATTTGTGCCGCGCAATAAGATTCAGCGAAACGGCACGGTGGGCGACGTCGCAGGTTCCTTCGCGAGGAAAAAGAGGAAAAGAGAGAAAAAGAGAGAACGAATTGATTGAATCAAGTATTACATGAAGCTATTTGTTCCCGATCGAAATATTTCAATTATTCTCTAGATTTCTATTATGTTTTCTAGGAAAAACTGTGAATACAAATACCAATTCCTGGACGCGTACTTAATCCTGAACATTTTTATCGTTTTGGTTTTTAAATACTTAAATATTTAAACTTTTAACATAAAAAATATAAATACTTATATTGAATATATTCCATGTTGAAAATTTAAATATTCTTATTTAAAGATCAAAACAATAACAATGTCTAAAATTAGATACGTGTCGGGGATATGATATTTTTATCTTTCAATTTCGTCCCGAATAACTTCATAATAGCTACGTTGCGGTATTTATTGCCAGTACTGAAAATCTATAGTACAATCAACATGAACTGTGCAGAAATTTTCAGTACTGACAATATTAAATCGGTCACAATCGAGAATCACTTCGATTTACCAGAACCGCGCAGTTCGACCGTCACTTCCCACCTGTCAACCGTTCGCGGCATTCCTGAACCTCGAAATTTTCAGCAAAAAACTCCGCGAATCATCTCGAGCATCATTCGGACCGTCAACATCTCCGCGAACAAAGTTCCCGCGGTTCGTCGCGACGGACGGATGCTGAGGCGACTCGTGTCGAATCCACCTTAACCGCAGATACGACTCAATTCGCCGCGAGAAGCCGCCTCGAATCGCGTCATGTCCTGCTTCGGCGGCCACGACGAGCAGATTTACCTAATCGAGATACTGATCGATAGACTGACGTTAACGCCCGGTAAAATCAAAGACATCGACGGGCACCCTATTGTGATCAAGATCAAGCTGTTGAATCTTCCCGTGTTCGAGATCACGCGCGATCAAACGGACGCGTCGAAGGTAGAATTGCCGCGCGACGGCAGTGTACGTTTTGCGACCGGCAAGTGCTGCCTGTTCGCCAAGCAACCGCGCGATCTGGTGCGCGATCTTCGTTCGACGAGCTTGAGAGCCGGAGTGTTTCGCGCGGGTGACACTTATCCCACAGCAGAAACCGAATTAACGCTGCCGGGTTGCCTGTGCGATCAAGTCGCCATGATCGGCAACGACCCTGCCAACCCGCCGAAGCCGTTCACGGTGAAGGGAGGCTTCCACCTTCTCGACCCGGGCGAGAATCCGTCCGGCACGCTGCACATGGAACTCACGATCGAGTGTCTGGGACGCTTCTTCGCGACACATTACGAGCTGCATCCCAAGTCCCCCGTTCTCGCCGAAGGCCAAGAAACTAGGGAATGGGAGTTGCACGTAAAGCGATATGTGCCGCCCGAATTTCTCCCGCAGAAAGAGTTGCCGGAAGTCCCACTAACGCCGGAGAAACCAAAGAAACCAAAGAAAAAAGGCAAGAAGAAGAAGAAGAAGAAGTAAGGCGGAAAGTAAGACTTTTAGAAATGAATATTTTTCAATAGTTTATTCCAAGACGTTTGCACTCTGAAGTGCGATTCTATATATTCGTTGAGTGATTATTTTCGTCACCATGGCGATCGTCTGGCAACTAAGAACGTCAGTTAACTTCGGCTCGAGGCGCACCGTCCGACTTCCGGCCCCGAGGCATTCACAAAATTAATGGCGCAATTCATGCAGGAACATCATTAACGCGTCGATTCGGGGTTGCTCTCGAAATTTGTCGTTGTACGTGGACACATTCAAGCACAAGGCATGGCTTTGAAGAAGAGGAAAATTCCCAAGTCGGAAGCGGAGCAATTGTACATGCTCGAGATTCTCGTGGAACGCGTGGATTTATGTCCGGGGAGAAATGCCGATGACGCCGCAGAACACGATTGTCTGATGGTGCGCGTAGAATTCATCGATCTCACGCCTGTCGATATCATCGCTGAAGAATTCATCAAGGTTGCCGGAGATGAAAGATGTAAGAAGAAAGAAAGTCGCTTGCTCGATGAACGCGCCAACCAGTCGGGTAAGTCGTGCTTGTTCACCCGTGCGCCGAGCAATTTAATACGATCTATAAAATCGACTCCTCTGAGTGTCGAAGTGTATCGAATTCCGCGCTCACTGACGGAGGAGCGTAACTCGCGCGACGACTTTCGGATTCTTCTTTGCGCGGCAACGGCATTTCTGCCGGAATGTTTCTGCGATCGAGTGGTCGAGGCCAAAGCCAAAAGAGACGGCCTACCGGAACCGTACACACTGAAGAGAACCTACACATTGGCCGATGAGCGAGGCGCTGCCTGCGGATCCGCGTCGATCTACTGGAGGCTGTCGTGCTTCGGAAGTTCGATTATCGAGCACTTGGCGCTCCGCGAGAAGTCATTCATACTTGAAGGTTTTTCTTTCAGTGAGAAATTTCGCTGCGCGACACAGTCCGACGAAAACGCGAGGGACGAGATGAGTAGAATGAGATACGACGACGGCACGTTCCCGCCGAACGAGATTCTAGGAACTGCGTATTTGAGACGACGCGACCAAGCGGATGCGAGTCCCGTGTTAACGAGACCGCAGTCACCGCCGCGTGTGTCGATAGACCAACCGGGATTCGAGAAGCTGACGAGTGCCGAGAAGCTCAACGATCGCAGATACCGCGCTTTGGTTTACGCAGCTTATTCCGACGAGCCTACTTGCTCGTGTCCACCGACGAACCGCTCGACGCACCCTCTCGTGTGTCGTTCCGGATGCCTTCGTCCTTGCTGCATGGCCCTGCGAAATCCCGACATTCTTCGGAATAACGTATCATCGTTCGCTATACCCGCCAACCGTGTTAGCGAGCCGTATTTGAAGTCGAGCGAAAACGACACAAGTCGCCCCGACGATCCTAACAGGATGAAAGCCGGCGGGGACAAGGAAGATATCCGCTCGAAACACGTCGAGTTACTGTGGAACGACGAGTACATGTGGCGTAAGGATAATATCAACCTGAGGCATCGCTTGATGGGCGGAAGCGAGTACGCTTATGCACCTTCTGAAACTACCACTACTACCGTTTTGTACGAGAAGAACAAGGAAATGGGCGCGATATACCGACCTCGTCCGAAATCTGCGGACGGGGTTATGATGGGATGCACTTGCCCGGGGAAAGACGCGTTGTCTGGGAGAACGGGTTCAGTCAAGTGCACGAGGAAATCGTGCGTGGGTGCGGATTGCATGATACGAGCCTTCAAGGAGGCCCAGGACTTTGTCGATTCCATCGGCAAGATGCCAGGATTAGCGGGTCTCGGCTTAATGGACCCATCCGAGAGCCCTTACTTCGGTCGAGACGCAGTCGGCGTCCAAAAGACGCCGAAGCGATCTCCCGTCTATCCCGTGGCGATAACGACAACGTCGCCGAATCTACTGCAACGCACTGCTCCTTGCAACACTAGAGCCGCTCTCGGTGCTGCCCCCGCGGTATCCTACGCCCCCGTCGCCGCGACACTCGCGATGCCGGGACGCTGTGGTATCGTGCGCGAGGCGATACCTACGTTACCGGAAGTGCCGTTACTCCCGCTCGTCGTTAGGCCGAAAAAGAAAGAGGATAAGAAAGAGGAGAAAACGGAGAAGCAAAAAGAGGCGGACGCCGCGGCGTTCGCGCCGTCGGACATCGAAGTCGGCCCCTGCGGTGAGCCGAAGTGTATGTCTCGACGGAAAGTACCCGGTCGATCATCGCAGTTGGGAAACGTTAACAATTCGCAGAAGGCGACGGTGCAGTCGAAACTACCGTCGAGTGTGATCCCCGTTAAGAGTGTCGATGGTTATCCCCGTGAACGGGGACGACGTCCGAAAATCAAACCAAGCCCAGGTCCTGATGGTGATCGCGACGTCGAGAAAATGCCCCCCCTTAAGGTCAGCAAAAGAGTGATGCGTTACATTTACACGATCGGCGAGGTTTATCCCGGTATCGCTTACGGACACAAGAACTGCATAGATCCGCGAATGCGAGTGCCGGCGAACATGGGCTGGTTGTGGAACACGGCCGACACGGTGGGCAAGTTAAAGCCGCGGATCGGTTGGAAACCAGGCGCGATCGGACGTTATCTGTACGGGCTGCTGAAGGAGGCTAAGCTGGGCTCCCTGGAGAAGCATGATCGAGCGAGGTCGGTGCCCTCGCGCACCACCGTACGCCGTGGCAAAGCGTACAAACCCATGAGCTACGCTGCGAAGCAGGCGAAGGAGGGCGAAGAAGAGACGGAGCCGCCGCCGACCCTGCATATTCATCGGAAGGACGGTACTTACCACGTAACCATGTACCCGATCAAGGGAGAGACGACGGATGAGACGCCGCGACTGGAGGAGCCGACGAAGCCGGTGCAGTTCAAGATAGTGAGAAAACGGGACGACGCGTCCGTCACGTCGAGCTCTACGGCGTCGGACTTGGAAATCGAGTTCTCGCCACCCGCGGCGGTCAACAGGTATCGCAGGAAGCCGGACGTGGTGCATGTGGACACTCAAGTAAGGCAGCAGGAGATATTAGACGCCCTCAAGCCACCCGAAACTCCCAGAGCGAAGAAGGAGAAGAAAGCAAAGAAGGAGAATATGGAGAAGAAAGAGAAGAGCAAGAAAATGGAGAGGAAGGGGAGAAAATAACGAAATAGTCGCGATTTCCACCATCGCGTGTTAACTCGGCGTGATCGCGAGAAAGAAGCGGTGATTGCATCAATGATTGATCATGAAAATAATTTACTCAGAGAAGAAAGACCGACAGTGTCGCGGTAAATCGATGTTACTCGAAGGCGGAAACAGAGATACCCTACGTGTCCGTGTATACGCGATCTATTTTCAATCTCATCCCAATTTCCTCGCCTAAACCTCACCCGAGCCTTATCGCGATAGATCAGAGTTAGTCCCGAGTTCAAATCGAGTATATCATTATCTGTGAGAGAAAGGATTACCTATATTTAATATCACGCTTTGTATCGCCAGTAACACGCACATTGACATTCGGGAATTAAACATTGTCTCAAGCCATTTATGACTGAGTATGCTTAGAACTAACCTTGTGCAAAATCAGCTTGAATATTGTATATAAAGGACTCACCGAGAGCAGAATTCATCGCGCTCTGGGAGAAACTCCAAGTAGTTTACGTCTTAGCTCGAGCTGGGGAGAACGTCACAGCAAATTAACCGAACATCGCGAGAATGGATGATGCACGGCACCACGTTATCGTTAACGGATGACATATTTTAAACTATCTCAGTAGATTCACGTTTCGGCATTCGGCATTGTATTACGCGCGCCATCTATAGGTCGCACGCAGTTATTATATATATAACTCGTTATCATCGGTTTGATGGCAGTCACGAGATATCGACGTGCTCGAACGGTATCTTATTAGTGTTTTGACAATTGCAAAAGATAGAAATGATTAAGGCACAGGTCGAGAGGAACACCGCCGTGCGCGAAAAGATACTCGATCTACATGACGTTCACGTGGGAGAGGTTCCGCAGGATTCGCCGTGGCTAAGTACCGTGCGTATAAACTACACGCAAGATGGGCAACATAAACAATGGGACGTTATAAAATCCCATGACAGCGTGAGTATACTGATCTTCAACACAACACGAAAGAAGCTCGTATTTGTCAGGCAATTCCGACCGGCAGTGTATTACTGGTCGGTACCAGGAGAGCAAGACAAGATCGATGTCGAACATTATCCTGCAACTTTGGGACTGTCCCTAGAGCTCTGTGCTGGTATCGTGGACAAGAATAAGTCTCTGATGGAGATAGCGAAGGATGAGTTGAGGGAAGAGTGTGGTTACGAGGCACCTTTATCTGCATTCAACCAGATTCTCACCTATAGGTATTAGTCTCAAACAATTCTCATTGCAATATCCTATCCTTGGTCCAGATCTATAATGTGCTTTTGTTTTGTTTTGTTTCCTTTCCTGTCTTGTTTCCTTTTTTTCTTTCTGACTTAAATCTTAAATATTCTGCCAGAAAAGAAGCAAAGGGCACATTATAGATTAAATATTGGTTCTCTTCTGCCAGAGAAAAATATATGCAAAATATAATAGATGCAAAAATGATTTCCAACATAATTTATATGTTTTTTGTAGTAAAATCTAGATATATTTCCTTTTTTCTATATTTATTATAGATATTTATAGATTATAAATATTTGCTTCATTTAAAATTGCCTGCTACAATAACAAAAATAGATATATTGAAAAAGGTTTATAAACTAAGAATAATATTACTTCTATATTTTTTTCAGATCTAGCGCTTCTGCCAGTGCAAAACAAACACTTTTCTATATAGAGGTCACAGATGATATGCTTATACATCCTGGTAAGTTTAAATTTAGATATTATACTCCAGATGATCTCTTATGAAGACAATTTTAAAGGACCATATTTTTGTACTACTATTAATAAACTATATCTCATGTGCATAAGCGAAAATTCTTCAATTTATCCAATTTGAATCTGTCGTCATACTAGGCGGAGGTTCCGAGGCCGAAGGTGAGCTCATAGAAGTGGTCGAATTCAGCATTCCAGAACTGAAGGATTATATGAATTCTGAGGAAGTAACGAGTCCTTCTAGCTTCCTCTTTGGTATATCCTGGTTTCTAGTTAATAAACCTGAACACTGCTCATATGATTGAAACAAAGAAAAGAAACAAAGATTTTCTTATTGTTACCTGGAGTAAAGAAATATAAATTATATGAATAAAAAACCAACCTTCAAAATTTTATAGCAGTTTAGAATTATCAGGCAGAAATCATTCAGTTGAATTTATTTAAAATACAGCATATGTACACAAGCAGTCACGCGAGACAATTGAATAATTAATATTACGCAAAATCACAAAAACCAACACTCAATTGCCCAGTTCATCTTTTGTGAATTGGGAGCTGACCCATGCAAGACCCCATTTTAGATTTGTTAGTAAAAATTTTAAAGCCTTGGTCCACTGTTCCTCTGAGTTGAACTGTATCCTGTAAAGAGAAGAAATATTCAGTTAATAATTAATCAAGCGATAATGTTATTTATAAATAAGTTTATCAATTTATAGATAAATTAAAATGTAGATATCAAATATAAGTGAAGATTCTTAATTGTAACTAAAGATATCCATGTTGATTTGTGCTGAAACGTACTTTACAGAGTAGGAATTGCCTGTTGCGGTGTCTTCTATTTTACCACGGTCCATTCTGTATGGTAAACAAAAGCCACTGTCTCCTTTCTCTACTTGTTCCTTAAATTGTTGCAAGCAATCCAAAAACGCCACCATAGCTGCGTCGAATTTCGTATCCCACAGGAACTTGAACCCACCACTTCCATACAGAGGAAGTTCTTTGTTCTGATCCAGCGCTTCGATGTAACTGTGATTGCCGAACGGCACCAGACGAAAACGCTTAAACGTCAAATTCATTTTGCGCGCAAGAGACGACAGTAAAAGCGTTGTTTGTCCCCATGCGGCGTTTATTTCACTCCAGTCCACTGGTACACTCGGCAATCGACCTAGTCGAAACGAATTGATAGTTCCAAAGTGGCCCGAATGCCAGATGTGGAATGTGGCGTTGAAGACATTCGTTTTCTTCAACCTCTCAAGCTGCGAAGCTGCGTACGCCAACTGGCACTCCAAACTGCAAAAATATTTAATTTTAGATAAAACAATAGTAGAAGAACTAAAAGTTTAGTAAGAAATTATTGTTCATGTATAATGTCAAATGTATGTATCAATGTATATCTATTTTTATGAAAAATGGATTCTTTTGTAGGAAACTTCATTCACCTGCGACATTCGTCTTCAGCCAAAAGGACATCTCGTTTGTGTTTAGAATATTCTTTCCAATACCTTTCCTCTTCACTTTGTAATCTTTCCCTTTCTCTTTCCTGTTGTGCTATAGCATTTTTGGTAGCTATCTCCTCCTTTCTCAATGCTTCTAGCTCTCTTATCATTCTCTCCTCTTCAGACTGTACATCCTGCAATTCCTTTGTTAAGTTCTCCATCTCTACATCCTCATGTCCTTGGAGTTGCTGTTCTATTTCTAGTTTTTTCAGGTACTCATTGTAATCTGACCATTCTCCTTCTGTCATTCGTAATTGTTGATCCATTATTATCAACAGGCTATCTGTACACTCATCACAAAGAGGGTGGTCTGCTGAACTGCTACTGCTAAGAATGTCAAATAATGTTGCTCGTACCTGGGAAGTATACCAAGATCAGAAATTAGAGCAACACATAGATTTTACTTCCAGACATCTCTATACCTTTAGATGATGACTTAAGCTCTCAGTTTCACCGGAATCACCAACCAGCATGAATCCATTTGTACCATTTCCTGATTCAGTCAATCTGAAGGGTGGTACCAAGTGTTCTATGCTATCGCTTTGGGTTTCTAATCCTCCGACCACTTGCTGCTGTATGGGAACTGCAGTCAGATAAATGATTATGTATCTTATGATATCGAACCAAGCATCAAACGATGATGTTACCAATACGAAATAGAAATTACCTACGTGAAAGTTCGGCAAGCGTATGCTCCCCGAGATGATCAAAACTGGAATCGAGTCTAAGTGGTTGTAGACACCGTTGGCATGCAAAACTCACGTTCGTCTTTATGTCCACCATCGTATACGTTGATTATTATCGAGGAGAACCAAAGAAAACTAAAAGAACCACAACCCTACCAGGGAACGTCTTTATTTATAAATACAAGACGCATAAAACAAGATGCATTGTGTATAGCGAATCAACTGTAATTAGGAACGAGTTGTAATTATGATCGACCGACGAATCGATGTTCGACTCTTCCTGTTAAATAATCGACTATTTCTCAGGTATTCCTAAATTTCATGTCTTTTTAAAAGTAAAGATTTTCCTCTACCTTATCACCGACCCATTTTTTAAAATAAAAAAGATCCGTGTTGTTGAATCGTATTCTTCAAGAATTACATTTTTCAACTCACGATTGAGTCATACTATTTAGAAAGTACGTCTGACTTGTCACTGAGTCTAACCACAATCTCGGTTCAAGTCGGTGGCGGCTTGCAGCAGAGATTTCGGAACTAAAGTGACTTGTCTCATGAATCATTTACTCGAATCCTATTTAGCCAAGATATAAACCATTAAGTGAATAATTTTTTGCAATTACTAGAGAACACTAAACAGTCCATCAGGCGCCTCTTTCGATAATTCGGCTTTCCCAATTCCAAGTCTTACGCCACTTTATTGTACTTCTCCGCTATATCGTTCTTTCCTTCTCTTTTCAGTTATGTGTAGGATATATTTGTTTCTTTTTAAGTGCAAAAAGTGTAAGATAGAACACTAAAAACACAGGTCTTAAATATTCGACTGTAGTATTCATTGTGCAGTATTCTCAATATCATTTACTTCAATATTTCAGATATTAAAGCAATTTCGTGTATTTAGAGAGTTGTAAAATAATTAATTTTGCGTTACTATATTCAGGCTATGCTGTGCCGAACTTATCGATATGTCTCGAACCTGCGCATTGCGCTTCGAGAAATTCAATCATAGCAGAGAAAAGCATAAGAGCGGCCACCAGCCTGATTTCGATGGTCAGAGCTAGGTGCATTTTCGAGACGCCATCTAACAAAGTGCGCCTTTAATATCTGTTCGACAATTGTGAAATAATATCCACGAGTGGATAATTACGAAATAAGGACCTTTGCACGTAGAAAAATTTTAACCGTAACCGTAAGGTTGTAAGAAAACCACAGACCAATCACAGTCAACTATTCCTCGGACGCAAGGAGAATAATCAACTCTGATTGGTCAGTTTTCTTACGACCTTACGGTTACGGTTAAAATTTTTTTACGTGCAAAGGCCCTAATGATGATCGAATAATCAGTAATAAATATACCTGAGCAAGGCAATGAGCTCTATACATACTGGAGCGAGCCGTCAGCCTACAATCTACATAGAGTGCTTTCCAATTGCAATATTCCTAGACACTTTCATGCGACACAAATTGCATTTTAATTGTCGTAATCGTCGACACAACACTACACATCCGTACTCAGCTCAAAGGCTACTAGTCGGCTGTGTAAACTAGTGTTTTCTAGTGAAAATTAAAATTAATAAGCGTAGCGGCTTGAAAAGAGACTGGCATTTGCGACGTGAAGTAGATAATATCTTTTTTATTATTTAGATTTTATTATTTATTATTAAGAAATACCAAAATATAAGCATAGTTGAAAAATAACCCTAACTTTACCCGACATACATACATATTAGTACACACTTTGTTCCAATTGAATCGTGCACAACGTTACACTTTGTGCATTTCTGTGTACATATATGTCAAGATGTGTTAAGCAATTGGAAAGCACCCTTAAATTGGTGGTAAGACTGTCGGGAGCGGTGCACCCGGACACCTTGGACACGGTGCATTTGGACACAACCAATCACAGCACCGTGTGATTAGAAACATTTGTAGGGTCCTTTGGAACAGCGACTTGTGATTGGACTGTGTCCAATTGCCCCGTGTCCAACTGATATACACCCAAGACTGTCTCACTTTATACTTAACCAATCAGCGAACCTCAAACAAAGATAGCCTCACCACCAAATGCCTCTCGATGGCATACTCTAGCTGTCTCACTTTATATTTAACCAATCGTGAACCTTGGAGAAAGATAACCTCTCCATTAGACGCCATGATGGCTCACTCCAGTATGTATAGAGCTCACTGGGGTAACAGCTCTACCAAAAACAATATGCTCCACAAAGGCTAGGTAGACGGACCGTTGTAACGGCTCGCTCATGCCGCTGACTGAGCGGTGCTTGGGCGAGATGGGGGCGCGGCCGGGTACTGCAATCACGCGTGTGTGAGCATGTGATCGAGCGTCACGCCATAACATTCTCAACCGTCGAAACGAGCATATTGAGAGCTGCCGCGTCATTTTCTACATTATTCCATGCCGATTTTTAATAGCACGTTTTGACTTCGCGACAATTGAGGCGATAATTAAGACAAATTAAGACGCGTACTCCTCATGCGAGCAAGTGTTGCGGGCTTTATCGCGACAGGTAATTTTTTTTACCGCGTTTCATTAATTTTTTTAGTTGTTAGGTACAGAAACGTCGTGATCGAGTTCCTCAATGCCGATCAAATATTATCATTATCCATTTATTATTCGAGTATTATTACTTCTTTATGCGGTTATTATTTGATTATTGCTATTACCCATAGAAAAGCAACTCGGGCGTGCCGCTACAATTTCTTTGCCTCGTCTTATTTAGTTATTATCGCTGTTGCCCAGTTATCATTCATTGTTATTACCGATTATTCAATCATCGTTATTCAGTTATTAATCACTCGCGAATATTATCACATGATTGAGTAGATATTATTATCGCTACCATTTAATATTCGAGTATTATTACTTTATTCGATTATTATTTAATTTATACGGTTATTATTTAATTATTGCTATTACGCGTAGGAAAACAACTCGAGTGTGCCGTTACGATTTCTTTATCTCGTCTTTGTTTAGTTATTATTGCCGTTGCCCAGTTATTGTTATTCATTGTTATTACCAATCATTCGATCATCGTTATTCAGTTATTATCCGCTAGCGGCTATTATCACACGATTTTCGATCAGGTATTATTATCACTATTATTTATTAGAATATTATTACTTTTTTATAATAATTATAATAATATCTGTGCTCGACAATCGTGTGATAATAGCCGCGAGCGGATAATAACGAAACAACAATGATCGAATAATCGGTAATAATGAATAACAATAACTGGCCAACGGCAATAATAACTGATTAAAGACGAGGTAAAGAAATTATCATAACGGCACGCCCGATTTGCTTTCCTATGCGTAATAGCAATAATTAAATAACCGAATAAATTAAATAATAATCGAATAAAGAAGTAATAATATTCGAATATTAAATGGTAGTGATAATAATATCTGTTCGACAATCGTATGATAATATCCGCCAGTGGATAATAACGAAATAATGATGATTGAATAATTGGTAATAACAATATCTGGGCAACGGCTCTAACAAAAACTCTAGGCTTTATAAAGGCTTGGTAAACCGACCGTCGTAACGGCCGCTCGGGTTGTTGACTGAGCGGCGTTGGGGAGGGGGGGG